AAGGTCGTTCTCCTTGAGCAGGCTTGGCTGAGCCAGCAGCTTTAGACAGGTGGCTTTGACGATCAGCAAGCAGGAGGGATATGCCAGCCATCCGGATTAGCTGAGTCATCTTGGGTGTCAGTGGCCACCATCCATCAGCCAGATGGTCCTCAGGCCCCTGGGATCCATCGTGCCTTAGGATTCATGATGCTGACCTATTTCTTCTTCCTGTCTCTGACTGCTTGCCGTTTTCTGAGCTCCTGGTGAGTGGGGTGTGTTGATGGCATCTCACCCCGTGAACCATTCTGATAACAGAGCAGAATTCACAGTGCAGTCACTCCAGCACAAACACGCTTACCGAGTTTAGCCCCCCAAAAGTAATGCTTCAATGCTGTCCTCTCTCAACTCCACCTTCCTATTTGCTGAGTCTCCTCTCCTTCTGGATTTGGACTTCACAACTTCCTCAGTGGAATCACATCAAGCTGAAATCAGAAGAGAACATTTAACTGTAAAGTAGGAAAGAGCATGGACGTGGAAGTGAGACAGACCTAGGAGGAATGTCAGAATGGCCTAGACAAAGGAAACCGATAAGGCACAGCTGTTAGATTCAGAGGGCTTTGATTCTCATCAGAGAGATGAGAATTAATATACTAGTTAGGATGTAAAAGAGATGATGACAAGTGACACAAGAGGACCAGGTAAGATATTAGGTGACCTTAAAGAAAAGAGAATTTTTCCTAGCTGGGGGGAAGAAATGGGTTTAATGGAATAAGTAGCATTTGAGACCTGGCTGGTATGGCAGACTGCTTCATTTGAGCCTCTAGTTCCAAAATGTAGCTTTGGATGTAGGTGTAGTGGGTGTTGTTTTTGTTTCTATTTACGTCTTAAAGGATGCCTTGACCTTTTGGAATTTATGTTGCTTTGCCCATGTGTTCCTAAGTCTTCCAAGGTGAAATATCAACTAAATAGCTGTTTCTTTTCCACTTTAGTATTCTTTTTATGAAGTTCAAGAAAATCTCATCTTCTATACTTACATTACTGATAAATGTAAAAGTAAAGATTCCTCTAGTTTGAGGAACACTTTCCTCTCCCCAAGGAAGAGAAAAGAGAGATTAGATGAACAGCATCATTTGATGACCATCCTATTGAAAATCTGCTCTCATCTCCGACCAGAGGCAGAGGCCATTTTGCAGGGCTTCTAGAAGAGCTGCCTGTGGGTCTGTTCTGCATCTTTCTAATGTGCTGTGTTTGGATACCACAGCCTCCTCAGGGGCCACACAGTCCACAGAACCAGACACACTAAGACATTTGGACATTAAATGTTTTCCATAGATTAAGTCCTGAGTTTTTGAAATGGTAGTCCATTTGTTCAGAATTTTTTTTTTTTTTTTTTTTGTCTTTAAAACTTAACCTACTGTCTAACATGCTGAAAATCTAAACATTTTTAAGATTTCTTAACTTGGGCAAGCTTTACACAAAATTTACTGAGAGAAGAATGTTGTAGCTAATGAAATTTTCTAGTTAACAAATACTAAAATGCTTTAAAAAAATCCACAGTCTCATGGTCTAATGACAATCATTTTATTTTTATTTTGGTGTGTGTGTGTGCCAATAATGGAAAAGGACTTCACACATACTAGGCAAGCACTCTTCAACTAAGCTACATCTCTGGTCTGACAATGATTGTTTAAAAGACTGGATCTTGTCTTCTGTAAGATTAGTTGTTAACAATACTGATGGAGGAACAAGGGAGCTTATTTAGGTCTAGCACAGGTGCCAAGAGCCTTGCCCTTAGTGGCAGTATTTTTGAGCTTTGAATCCTAGGTCTATCTCTTGCTAGCTAGAGTCCTTTAGTATCATTGTCCTGATCCATGGTTGGGGATCACAGCAGTGTAATTCTGTATAGGGTTGTTAGGAAGGCTACATGAGACATGGATAAAGAAGCTGCCTCAATAAAAAGCCAGAAACAGAAGTTAACTGTAGCTGGTGCTGTGCCCACTGATGTTTCATGTCAGCTCCGTAACCTGATAGGGTAGGAGTTTTTTTGGTGTGGGGTTTGGGGGCAGAGTTGTGTGGTATCAGAGATCCAACCCAGGGCCTCATGCATGCTAGGCAAGCAATCTACCATGAACTACATCCCCAACCCTTTTTAAATTTTTTATTATGAGACAAGGCCTTGCTGAGTTGCCCAGGCTACCCTTGGACTTGAGAACCTTCTGCCTCAGCTTCCTGTGTAGCTGGGATTATAGATGTGTGCCATCTGCCCAGCAAAGTCAGTATTTTTAATCTGACATTTTTATGGGCGCCTTTTGTGTGTGTGTGTGTGTGTGTGTGTTAGGATTTGAACCTAAAGGTGTTTTACCACTGAGTCACATCCCTAGCACTTTTCATTTTTTTAAATTTTGGAACAGGATCTTACTAAGTTGCCTAGGGTCTTGCTAAATTACTGAGCCTGTTCTCTAACTTGCAGTCCTCCTGCTTCATTCAGCCTCCCAAGTCACTGGGATTACAGGCTTATCTGTACTTAAATACAAGTACAGCCATGTGTCATTTAACAACAGAAATGCATTGTTGGATAATTTTATCATTGTGCAAAAGTCTTGGAATATAAACCTAAACCTAGATGGCATAATTTACTACATACCTGGGCTATATGGTGTGTGTATGTATCTAGTATAGACTTTTAGTCCTAAGGCTGTGATGTGCAAAATAACATGAAATTAAATCTATCATAAGATGATGTAGTCATAATCAGGAGACACAGTAAACATGAGATGTATAAAGAAAATTGCTAGCATAACAGCATATTGTTTAACAGTAAACTTTTTTATAATGTCAGAAATTACAGTATAATTAACACAAATGATAGACATAGCAATAGAAAGCGTAGTACAGTAAATATGTAAGTCAATAACAGTTGTTTACTACCATTATCAAATATCACATGCTGTGCATATACTTTCCTGCAGCTGGCAGTGCAGCAGGTTTGCCCACACCAGCATCATCATAGACATTAACGCCCTGTGCTGCATCATGACAGCTGTGACATCAGGAGGCAACAGGAATTTTTCAGCTCCATTATTGTTATATGAGACCACATCGTATACGTGGCCTGTCATTGACTGAAACAATGTCATGCAGCCCACGACTATACTCAGATTTAGAAAGCTCCTCGCCCCAAGTCATATAATTCCAAGTGGCAGAGTTGAGATGTGTACCACAATGTGACCAATTCCAAAGTCCATACTACTTTTTTTTTCCCCCTTAGATGACCTTTTCTTTTAGGTATTTCTCAAAGCCCTCTTTTTATTCTTTTTCCTTTATTTTTACACAGCTAATTTATTTTTATACATGGTAATTCTTCTCTAATCAAATAGTACAGAAATAACTAACATAAAAATTCCCCATTCTGGGAGATCCTTAGAGTAGAGGAAAGAAATCAGGGGAAGGGAGAAGCAGAAGGAAAGGGGAAATACTGGGGGATGATATTGGCCAAATTATATTGTTATATTGTGTGCATGTGTAAACACGTAACACCGATTCCCACCATTATGTACAACGATAATGCACCGATTAAAAAATGAAAAATTCCCCATTCCTTAATCCCGTTCCCTATAAGTGATTTTAAAAATGTGTTCTCTATGCTTATAGATAATTTCATTGTCATTTCATACTTTCTATGAAAATTTTGTCATAATTTACATTCTCTCAATGCTGTAAAAGTTCCCATTTCCCTGCAATATTATCAAGGCTGAATGTTCTTTTTCTGTTATGTTGTCCATTCTGTATCTGAAAGAATACTGTATCTTTGCTTTAATTTGCATTTATTAAATTACAAATGAGATTGAATGTCCCAAAACCCAAACTACTTTCTCTATAAACTATTGCACCGGAATTTGTAGTAGTCCCAGGATGGTGCAGTAGTTAATTAACTATAACAATTAGTATGTCATAATTCAATTGAATATGCCTAATGTGTTTTAGAATTTTAATGGGGCTTATTATTACTTGATGTTTTATTTATGTTAAATACATATTTTTAGAATTTTGCAGGAAAAAAATCATCAAGGAAATAAGCAATGTATTTATTGGTCTAACCAGTGCTTGCTAAGCACAGTGCTAAGTATTTGATTCAGAAAAATAAACAAGATAGTGCTGGTTGTGTAGCTCAGAGGTAGAGTGCTTCCCTAACATGTGTGAGATCATGAATTCAATCCCCAGCACTGCAAAAATAAAATAAGCAAAATAAACACATTTTCAAGAGTTTTAGTCTTGTATATAAAATAAACAACTGCCTCACCAAAAAAGCTTTGGTTGGAGGTAACAGAATAGCTAACTCAAACTGGCTAAAACAATGAGGAAATTTATTAGTTATCATTCTAGAAGGTGGCTAAGGATAGGGCTGGCCTCTAAGTTTGCCTGACCCCATAGCCCTTAGAGGACCAGTTCCTTCCATCTCTGTCTTTACTCTGTCACCCACTATTTCAGCTTCTTCCTAAGGCTGGTTCCTCCATCCTCATGTGATGGCTGCCTGTGGCAATTTGGGCTCCCTGTTTTCTTTCTGAGAGATATGTGGGCATCTTACAGCTCTATTAAGATTAAGGAAGAACTTTTCCACAAGTTTCCACAAACAAACCTCTCTCTTTTTGTCTCATTGGCCTGGGAGGTGGGGGGGAGGCGGGACCCATGCCTGAGGTACCCATTCCTTACAAAATTGTTGGGAAAAGGAATGAGATTGACTTTAGGCAATCAGAACTCTGCCTGGAACAGAAAGGAGGGCCCAGCTTTTCCTAAGGCATATTTGTACGCAGTAGGATAGATACCTACCAAAAAGCAAATAAATAAAAGTAAGCAACCAAACACCAAATGGCCTTCTGCTAGAAATACAACAGGAATGACTTCTGCAGAAGCCAAATGATAATAAACGCAGCAATTGAGTGCACAGTTGGGGGCAGTGTGAAAGTACTCACACCACGATGTGAGTGAAGAATGACTTCCCTTTTCTTCTGAATGTCCCACAGGATCAGAGTGGCACAGAACCTGTTAGTAGTGAGGAAGATGGCAACCTGGAAGTTGGTGTTAAACAATTGCCTGGAAGTGATAGCTCCAACCTGGTGAGAATCCTGGGTGTCTTTCGTTCGATGTTCTTTTGGGGGATTGTATTATTTGAATTTTGTACCACCTCGGAAAGGACCATCTGTTGTGTTTGCTTTCCTTGGAATTTTAATCTCTGAGACAGAAGAAGCTTTCCACATAGCAGATCACCCTTTCACACCATCTACTGCCATCTTCACACTTGAGTTGTGCTGTCTGGCGCTGGAGAAGCAATTGCCCCCTTTAAATCTAGATTAGTGTTGTTTTTTACAGGGCTAGGGCTGTGCTGAGTTAATCCTGGAGACACAGGAAGAGACATTAAATGTTTTCCATTGATTCACGGTAAAAGATACCTATTCACCAGAGGCTGCTCAAGCCTTCCAGGAGAGTTTAGAGAACTCTCCCTCCTTACATACCTTAATGCTTGATATTATATTTGACAGTTGCTGAATGCTTGCTGTGTACCTGGAACTGTTTTGCAGCCAAGAACTTCTAGGGTTGGACTATAAGTTCTAGAAAGAAATATTGAGGCTTTTTTCTTTGTGATTTAAAATTCAAATATCAAGAGGTGTCACATGCCCAAAATCCCAGCAACTCAAGAGGCTGAAGCAGGAGAATTGCAGGTTCACAGCCAACCTCAGCAACTTAATGAGATCTTGTCTCAAAATTAAAAATAAAAATAAAAAGGTGTGGGGGTGTGGCTCAATGGTAAAGTACCCCTGGGTTCAAGTTCAATTCCCCCCCCCAAAAAAAAAAACCCTCAAAGAATTCATCACTTAGAAGTCACTCTGATTTTAAGACAGCTTGAAGTTTTATTTTGCTTCAGGGAATTTGAGATATCACCCATTTGTCTTCTTTCACCATTTAGAAAATATATTTTGAAGCTGGGCATGGTAGCATGTGCCACAGTCCCAGCTACACAGGAGCTGAGGCAATAGGGTCATTTAAGACTAGCCTGCGAGATAAACAAAAGAAAGAAAGATCGATAGGTTGATTACTGACTTAAATTCCATATCCTAGAACTGATTCTTTCAGGTCAAAAGGAAAAGACACATCAGCAAGAGTAGAAATTGTAACAGGCCACACCTGAACAAAGCTACCTGGGACCTAAGACCCCCCAGCATTGAGAATAGGACCATTGTTCATGGAAAAGGCATCCATAGGCTAAACCGTTCCTTTTCCCACATAGACCACACATTGGCTCCAAAGAGGGATGTGTGACATCAACAAATTTCACACTGAAAGCCCTTCACTTAAAAATATTGCAGCCTGTTCCAGATAAGTTAAGCAAAAGTCTTTTAAAGCAGCATGGAAAAGTCTTTTAAAGCAGTATGATTCTGTAAGTAGGGGTCCCCCTGTTTCATCTCATAGGAAATGTAGAAGGTGGAGCACTCCCTTGCTTCCTGGAAGACTCTGGTAGTCCCAGTGACATTCCCAGGTAGCCTGAAGACCAAAGCCTCCTCCATCAACTCCCTTCCCAAGCAGGCAACAACAGTGATGAGCTCAAGTGTCACATAGTCGAAGAGCCCGAAGGACTGAGGCTCAGCTCTAGGTATTGTTTCATATTGCTTTTCACGAAGGGTAACAGGCTCCCCCAAAGCCATTTGCTATTTCTCTTTATCCCCATTGTTTCTTTCTCTTTTCCTTCCTTAAGTTTTGGAAGCCTCAAATTTCTTTGTCACTATTTCTAAAGGAATTGTGCACAGTCTAGTTGAGAAGAAGAAAGATAGCTTGACTTTGACAGCTTTTATAGTGTAAACATAAATGGCTAGCATAAAGCATTAGTTAAGATTATGGCATGGGGCAAGTTACTTGACCTCACTAAGCCTCAGTTTCCCCCTCTGACAAATGGCAGTTATCAGGATGTTGGGAGGAAACAAATGGACTGACTCTTCAGAATAAATCCACAGAAAAATATAAGGCAGAGTGTCAGAACTTAGTTTATTCATTCCACAAATATTTTCCAAATGTCACTACACTCCAAAGATTGGGAAAATGTAAAAAAAAAAAAAAAAAAAAATGCCTCCCTCATAAACTCATTCCAGGGTGATGAGTAGAAGAGAGATGGGTAACACATAAATTGGCAAAATATTAGATTTAATCATGAAATTGCCCGTTTATGGGGAAAATAATTTTATATAGTTCAACCTAATATACACGTTTCTTATAATAGGATATTGATAACTGTTAATCATCTGCTACGATATTCTTAAGGGGGAAGTAACTTGTTTGTGAATAACTAGTTGTTATTTGACTACTTCTCTTATAATATTGCTGTACCATCCTAAGATTGTTACTGAATATTCCTTGTCCAAGGGCAACATCTAATCTGTACAGGCCTTGACTATTCTCATCCTTAGTTGGAAACGAGTAAGCTTTAACTCCTCAAAGTTTCTCCCTTGTTTTTTTTTTTTTAATTTTTTATTGTTGGTTGTTCAAAACATTACATAGTTCTTGATATATCATATTTCACACTTTGATTCAAGTGGGTTATGAACTCCCATTTTTACCCCATATACAGATTGCAGAATCACATCAGTTACACATCCATTGATTTACATATTGCCATACTAGTGTCTGTTGT